ATGTCTGGTAATCACTTGTCAAATTTCGAAAGACACCTGGAAAGAAATCACAACAATGAATATTTAAATTATTTCAATGAAAAAACCAAATATCAGGAATTGTTATTGGCAAAAAAACCTAAAATTAATATAGAAACCTTTTTTCCAAAATAGCATATAAGTATAAATATATCATCTATTGATTTGATGAGTTCTATACTAGAACTTGTTACTGTAAATGGCCGGCCTTTATCAATTATTGAAGATTCGGGATTTCAAAGAATTATAAATCCACTCCTATCTGGGCTCAATTTAGTTATAAACAAAGAAAATTTATCCAGAACTATTAATAAAACAGCCCAATCAATTAGAGACAAAATATCAAGAGAGGTAGAAGGAAAATTAATAAGTTTAAAAGTTGATGCAGTTCAACGACTAGATAGGTCAATTCTTGGTGTAAATATTCAATTTATATCAAAGTCCATTATAAATTTGAGGACTCTTGGAATTGTAGAGCTGAAAGAGAGATGTACAGGAGAATATATAAAAGAGAATAGAATATATTAAAAACTTTACTAAAATATAAAATTAATATTCAACAAATATACATAATTACTTCTGATAATGGTTGTAATTTTTTAAGAGCTATAAAGCTCCTGCAACCTGAAACTGATTATGATATAAGGAGTGAATCAGCAGATGAGGAAAATATGGATGTAAATGTATATAAATATGATATTGATGATATACAAAATACTTTTTTATCAACTATTATATCCTATCCGATTTATAGTGTACGGTGTGCACACACTTCAGCTGGCACTTCAAGATGCTATAAAATTATCACCTATTGTGGAAACCATTGCAAAAGCTAGGAGCCTAAATTTAAAATTAAGACATCCCACTTACCAAAAGTTATTAAAAAATATGAAACTCCCTAAGCCTGTGTTAGATTGCCACAGATGGAATTCAACCCATGATATGTTAGAAAGGCTGATTTTACTAAAACCCAATATCGAAGATTTTTTTACAGAGCAATCTGATTATTTATTGACTGAAGATTGGAAAGAGATAATAACGATTGTTGAAATTTTAAAACCGCTAAAAATCGCAACCAAACAATTCCAATCTGAACGAACAGTTAACACTGACAGATTTTTATGCAGCATGGTTAAGATGCTGCATCGAACTGGAAAAAAATCCAAACCATTTTGCTCAATTACTATATTCTTGTCTTAAGAACAGAGAAGAAAGGTTTATAAAGAACGAAATTCTCTTAGCTGCCATATACCTGGGCCCAAGATACAAGGTTAATTAAAAGCTTAGTAAATTAATTATTTTAGATTTATATTAAAATTGTTATTTTATGAAATATTTAAATATAAACAATATAAATCCTTAAATATTACAGGTATTACTTAGTGATGATGATAAGATTTGTGCGAAAAAACATCTTGTCAATTTATGGAGACGAATTAAAAGCTTAACAACGCCAATTTTATCTGATGATATTAGTTCCGATGAAGTTATTGAACAAGAAGATGATTTAGAGAAATTGATAAACTTAAAGAAAGGCAGGAGAAAATACTTAAAAGAGGGCCAACGATTGCTGAGAAAAGTATTGGAACAATAATTACTGGATTTAGCGATTATATAAGATTAGATAAGAAGGAAAATATTTTGCATTTTTGGGAGTCTGCTAAGCTGGAACACCCACCCTGAATTATATATTTTATCTAAAATCTTATTTGCTGTTCCTGCAACCCAAGTTAATTTTTCATATTTTCACATATAAATACATTTAACATAGGTTAGCGTTGAAAGATCTTTTTCACATTTGAAATTCATTCTTTCACCACATAGATCGAGGATGAGTGAACAACTCTTGGAAGATATTATGCTAATACGTCTAAATAAAATTTTTAAAATTGATACATGACTATATGCTTTGTATTTTTAACTATATTTGCCTATAAATAAAATAAAAAATTTATATTTTATATCATTTATGTCTAGTTTTTTATTATGATTTAAATATAAAATTTTTTTTATCAACTCAAAAATTCTTGAACCCGAACCGAACCCGAACCAAACCCGGGTTCAAAAATATTTCCCTGAACCGAACCCGAACCGAACCCGAACCGAACCCAACTTTTTTTTTATACCCCGAACCGAACCCGAACCGAACCCGGTCTAAAATTTTGTCGGGTTCGCATCCCTGAGTAATACATTAATTAAAAAGATAATATTTTTAGGACAATAATTTATTTTTCATTATATAAAACATATTTTCCTATTTTTATTAACATATAGGTTTTCATGAATTATATGGGGTTATTTAAAATTTTTTTTGCATTTTGTAATTTATTAATTTATCTGTTCGTCCAAAAAAATAAAAAACTTTTACACAAATTTTAAATATATGTCATTTTATATATATTCACATTATTTTGTAAATTAAAGCGACATTTTTATCATGTAAAAAATATACAAATTAATTATTTTTTTTAAATGCTCCATCTTGCAGAAATTTTACTTTATTTTCTCATTATATATTATTATTACTAAAATGTTTAATTTATATGTAATTAATTTTTTACATTCATTAAAATATGAATTTTAAACAACAGTTAATTATTTTTATATTATATTTTTTGGGAAAATGTTATATATTGCAATTTATATGCGATTTAAATAAAATATATAAAAAATTTCATATATATATTAAATATTTAACGTTAAAATTATTATAAACATAGATTTATTAAATAAAGATTGCGATTTTGCAAATGGCGAATGTTTTAAAGTTATTTTTAATCGTTGGTTAATATAAGTCTATGGATATACTATTTAATGATACACTAATTTAAAAAATATTTTATTTATTTCTAATTTGTAGACAATAATGATGATTTAAAATATTCGGTTTTAAAATATTAGGTCTGGCCTGGGTATTTTTTTTTTAAATTTTTTGTCCCGGCCCGGTCTGGGTATATTCAAAAAATAAAAATCTGGCCAAGCCCGTGTACCCGAGCATGGCTTAGGGCCGAGCCTACAGGTCTCGGATAACCGTAATGGGAACTCTTTGTGAAATATTATTATTTTAATATCATTGCCAATAATAAACATGTATTTTTAAATAATGCGTTTTATGCAATGATCTAATGTATATTATACTATTAAATTCGCAATTCATTAATTAAATGTGCATGTGCATAAGAAGAAGTTTGTAGCCATTTTGTGGTTTGCACATCGACTAATTATTTTATCGATCTCTATGTTGATGCATATTTATGTATTTAATCGACATGCATGACATAAGATGGAGTTACAGATTACTTCTATAAATGTCAATGATGTATTTATATTAATAGATTGATGATTCACTATAAAAGTGCACATACATAGAAGTTAGCAGTTTCGCCATTTGGAGTGTCCACTTCTACTAATTGTCTTATTTATCATTGTATGAATGCACATTGATGTCAATTAATTGACGTGCAGACCCTAATGACGTTACAGCTGAATATGACACTTTAAAATGCAAATTAATTATTATCCATACATTTGTTTCCCTTCCTTTCTATATGGCTTATACCTGGGGAATGGGGTTAAACATAGGATCGTCATTAGTGAAATCCAATATTATTTTACTATATTTCAGTTAATCTATTTGGTATTCATTTATAAGCTACAATATCATATATTGCTTGTTTTGCAATATATTTATTTTCTTTTTTGCATTTAATTTTTGTTCTAATTGAAATAATACTATTTAATATCATTTATATAAAGGGTTGTATTTCTTTTAGCACCTTTAATTATAGTCCTCCAAGCGTTTCTAACATTCACCGTGTCCTCCTTGTATGAAGTGAACCTTCGACACACATTCTTTTATTTTCTATTGAGTTCTTTTCTACGTTTACCTCCAACTTTTAGGCTATTTATTTTATAATATATCCCATTTCTTTTCTTACTATGCGACAGCTACTTTCTTTCATCACAATTTACTATGAGAAATAAAGTTTATTAAATAAGCTTCTAAATGACGGAAAATTTGTTGAAGGAAAATTCCCTCCCAAAATCTATACATACTCTAATAAATAGATTTCGCTCTTTGGCCACAATATTAGCCCAACCATTATGCTATAATAACTCCATGCTATATATATAAAAATATTACAATGAGCCACCATTTATAACCTTCCAATAATCTAATTGATTTTTTTCAGTCCTCAGGATTTGGGATAGAAATAACAAACAAGCATTTGTTGGTGATATACAATTAGTTGTTACTAAATACCATATTATAAAAATCAGTTTTTATCTTTTACAAATAGTGTTATTTTTACTTGTAGAAGTTGGTATCTATATTTAAAGTTAATTTAGATAACATAATTTAAAATAATATGTGAATTATATATTATTAGTTAAAATTTCAAAAATTATGATAAAAATATTCATTTAGTTATATCTTGTCCAGTCAAAAATATTTTATTAAAAAATTATTATTTATAAAATGTTAAGGTTATCCGAAGTAATTTTTAACATAGGCATTTGTTTTATTATTTTTAAAATATAAAGATGTTTTTTAAAAATATAAAAAATTCAGTTTGGTCACACAATGTTAAACTCAAAATATAAAGATATTTTTTTAAAATAAAAAAAATTCAGTTTGGTCACACAATGTTAAACTCAAAATATGAAAATCTTATTTATATTTTCAATTATTTTTTAACTTTCGACGTACCCTTAAAGTTGACTTTAATTTAAAATATGCAATGAGTGATAGATAATTTTATCAAATCAGATATATAATTACCAGAATTAATTAATATTTTATAAATATAAATAATTCTCGCCTTTTTATCATCTATCTACAATGTTTCTCTGTACTAATATTTGGGTTTATTATTTAATAATTTATTTAATATCAAATATAGTATGTACAACAGAACACAATGAAAAAGTTTATTATTGTTTTATATTATATAATTATACACTATGATTATAATTTAGAAAGATCGCTTTATATAGAGTAGGTCTAGGTATCCTTGCAAACGCGTTAACAAAACAATAAAATCAATTTATTCCTTATCGATTCATCTTTTCATGTCTTGCCAACAACAAATATTAAAACTTCAAAATCGTGTCTAAATAGGCGATATTTTTAATGTTTTCTTCCTTTTTTATATTTTTAAATTCAAATTTATTAATAAAATGTCTAAAAACAAAATACAAGTATAGTTACTATTTAAAATTAAATATAATAAGGGTACATACTCATAAAAAAATAATATATATTTTACGCATTTTAACTATCTGTCTAGTGGAGTTAAATTAAAATTTGTAAACATTTTATCATTTTTCTTGATCTAATTATACGAAAGAATATTTTTACTGGAGAAAAAAACATAGAGTAGGAAAAGAAATATCTAATAGCGCCTTACCCTGTATTCACAGTAAGCGCGAATTTACGCGAAGTATACAAACAAAATACTCTGTATTTTTGTATTCTTGGCCGCCGCGCAAACTGTGAATGATCAGTTACGCCTCATTTATGGTAAGCGCGATTTTCTCAGGCGATGCAAAATTAATCCCTGCATAATTTACCAAAGCAAGAATAAAGGTATAGTTTATGAATAGGGAGCAAAACGATGAAATCCCGACAACCACATCAAAAAATATTATATAACTGTGATGCGCTGTGATTTTGCTAGCGATTAATTTCGCATCGTTTGAGAAAATATCTCTTACTATAAGTACGTTACACTCAGTGATTCGAATCGGTCTGTTGAAAAGGGAAAAACAATTTCTAGGATTCAGTCAAATGTGGATTCTAAAAAATTTCGGATAGAACTTGGACATCGACAAAATTATAGATTAATTTATTTGCCTATTAATTAACCTTTCAATGCTTATAATTTTTCCAGGTTTGTAAAAATATTGCACTTTTTTTAACAACTCAGATATATCTTCTTTTTTTTTGAAAACTCTTTTTTTTTGAAAACTCTTTTTTTTTTGAAAACTCTTTTTTTTTTAAAAAACAAGATCAAGAAATACTCAGCAATATAATAGTACTTTGCTCCATAATGTATCTTTTTTAATTCTTAAGTTAAAATATTTCGTTTCAAAGTTTTAAATACTATATGTATTAAATTTACATTAAAATGATACATTTTTAAGTTCGAAAAGTTATAATTTTTCTTACATTAATACAAGATTTGATAAATTCTTCCGATGATACGAATCCATCACTGTTTATATCCATTTTCTAAATATTTGAATTATTTAATTATAAATTAATAAATAATACAGAACTCTTGAATGTAGTATTTTTTACTTTGCTAAACCCTGGGGGAGAGGGCGCAAAAGTGGTAATGTGGGAAGGCACGAATATAGGTACCCAAAAATTTAAATTATTGATTTGTAAATTTAAATATATATTTATATATATTTCATTTTTATCGCCCCGATAAAAACCAACTTATAAGCTTTACGAAATTGGGTGTAAATAAACTGGAATACACAATAAAGTAAAAATATTAAAATAAGTAAATTAATATGATAAATATATGTGATTCCCTTACGAATAATTTTAAAAATTTTAAAAATTTCTAAATGAGAACTAATTTAATTATAGTTCTGAGAACTCAATTATAATGTTTTATAATATTCTCACAAGATCCAAACCATAACAAATATTTACAGTTCAGATAAAAATAAAAGTCAAGGTTTAAGCTTGGTTTGGTAAAAAAAAAAAATAGCGATTTTATTTAACCATTAAAACTTGGTTATAAATTTTTTGCAAATAAACTTATTAGAATAAAGTATAGAGAAAATTCTCATATTTAATAAAATTTTATCACTAAAAACTAGGGTTATGTAATTGATGGTCAAATACAATTCGGTCAATTCACATAAGGAAATAGGTGATTAAAATGTATCTAAAATAGAATATATACTAAAGTACAATGTAGCTAAAGTTAAATATATTAAATTAAAGAAATTTTAAATTAGCTTTAAATATTTTAAATAACTCATGATACGTATTCAGTTCATTTGGAAGGATGACTTCTTATATTTCTAGCTCTTTATCTAGCTAATATACTCAGTACTAAACACATGAATATGAGTAGGACGTAATTCCATCCTTCTTATTATCATCCTTCGGTATAATTGAATAAAGAATGGGCCTTCATATAATTTACGTTTGCTCATTTTTGACAGGTTGACCAACATGCTCGATAAAATAAGATTTGAAGAAATAAAAATTTAATTTTAATAAATTGATATTCTAAGAAATGTTTTTTATTATATCGTTTTTCTGGTTGGAGCCCTAGAACAAAAAGAAAAGAAACGCAAACCGAAAAGAATAGCAGCATTTTTACATTTTTTAAAAATATTCTTTGAATTTTTATTTTTTCAATAAATTATTCGTATTTTTATTTTTCAAAAATTAAGATAAGGTTTATAAAAATTTTGAAAAAATATTTAAACTTTTCTTCTATTATATAAATGAGTTATGTAACTTGTAAGCACTTCAAACTTATTTAATATACCACTTAATCATCTTTATTACTAAACATCTTTTAACCCTGTATAATTATTTTAAACTTTAATAAATAATACATTAAAAATACCTTTATATGTGCTTTGTTTTAAAAAGCATCTAATGGTTTTCTATCAAATTATATATAAAAAAATATTGATATATATATAATTAATTATAATAAGATGTAAATTTTTTGCTCACATTAAGTTTAAATTTATAATATAAATTAAATTTAGAAATTATAATTGTTTTGTTTTATATTTAATTTCAACGCATTAAAATGCTAAGCTTATATAAATCTTGTTAATTATAATAAAATATTTTTAAAATATTGTTATTACTAATAAATTTACATTTTAATTTAAACAGATTTAGATGACATTAGAATAAGTATAAAATAAATTACTTTAAATATTCTATCGACATGGGTTTTAACAACCACCTCCAAATCATGGTGAGCCCTTTTAATTTCTTTAGGCTCTTGGGCATCTATCACATTATACAAGAGTTCATATATTGAAAATACTATTTTCGTCATTTCTTCTTTGCTGATAACTCCGTCCCCATTTATATCATATAGATTAAAGGCCCAGTTTAATTTCTCTTCCATAGTTCCTTTACAGATAAGAGATAGTTCCTTTACAAAATCCTTAATTTTTATTTTATATATCATTTAAAAAAATATATTTGTTTGAAAAACTGAGTATGCCATAATACTCCTGAAGTGATTTCTTCTATTATTGTATAAAAACCATTTTTAAAAAATAAAATAAACATTATTTTAAATAATGTGTGTCTTATGCCTGATTTAAATTAATTTTACCAATTAATTATAGTATATAAAGTTTTAAAAATTAGAGTTGAATGCAAATATGTAAAAGTATATACCTCAAATGCTACACATCCGGAATGATTTTTATCAAAAGTGTTGAAAATATAATGCGCATACTGAATAGGATCTATATAATTAACATATATAATATAAAAATATATTAAGTTTTGTGCATTGAAGTATAAAATATTTATTATAAGGATAATAGCCAAATAAACTCATTATAGGTATACATAATATAATTTTAAAAATTATAATTTCCCGAATCTATTACTAAATTATATTTTACAGTTTCTAATTTTTTTAACTGCAAAACAATATTTTAACTTCAAAATAAAATAATATTATTTATACATAAACATATATAAATTTTAAATATAGGTCGGGCCTAATATTTTTAAGAAAAATTTCATCAGGGCTTAAATTTTAAAATAAAATTGATACGTATTTTTTAAATTTTTGCAATAAATAAAGATGCCAATATTTTTCCGAGCTTGAAAAATTAGGTCCGATGCTTATCATTAACTATTTTCACTATTTAATGTCTAATAAATGGCATCCCTAGTGAGAAAGAAAAGATTGATATGATGTGCTATAATATTTTCTATTTGAGAAAGCGTCTTATTAAAGGTTTTTTAAATTAAAAAGCTCGTAAGGCCACAATTTAATTCTAATCCTCAAAATAAAATACAATATAAATACAAAATTACTTCCTTCTGGAAAGAATTGTCCATATATATCCTTAAATGTGTCAAAATTCAATGATCCATTTGGACATTGCTATAAAAAATTTAAAATAAAGAGATTATAATACGATAATATTTATTTTCTTGCTTTTGTATTAAATCAATTCGGCATATTACCAAGAAAAAAATATTTGAAATATTAATCCATTTTTTTCATAGTTTCTAGGCAAAAATTATTAAAGTTTTTCATAGGAATTCCAACTTATATAATTCTTATTTTTCAGATTTTTTTAATCTATTGAATTATTTTGATAGTTACACATAAGTTAGAAGTACTATTTTTTGTTAAAATTTATTTAATGTTTCCGATCTAAATTTATGAGGAACACATTTAAGATTGTGAGAATTTTCTATAGGATAAAAAAATAATTACTATTTCTACAATTGTAAAAATAACTAGTAAAGGCTATTTTTAGCTTAAAATTAGATATAATACTTTGATTTATAGTGGTTAATTATCCCTGTCCCTTTTTCCTAATCTCATTATGAGAGTTAAGACGGGCTGAATTATTGACAACTAAATCATCAAACGAAACAAACTTCTCGACTTGGCTAATTAACAGGCTTATTTCCAAAAAAAAAGAAATTAGAATATTATACTTTGAACTTTGCTTGAATGTTGATATTGATGATTTAATCAAACCTATCAAAATCTAGTTGTACTCAGAACCCTTTAGACCCAATAACCCTAATGGAAGTTACCCTGATAATTAAAATATTGAATACTGATTATGAATGATGAGGGTTTTTATATTATAGCAATAATTAATAATCATTTTCACTATCACTTAATAAGAACGCTTACTTTTCACCACCTTCCTTCTTTATAGTTTTCCAATTATATTGACTATTTTGAAATTTATCAATATCAATAAAAATTACAATGCAATTATTTTAGTGGCTAAAGAATTTCGCCGCGATTTTACTATCTCCTTGTATGTTTAATTTATTAATCTTAGTATTTTGTTGACACTTTTATATTACAATTTTATATATTCGAGCATAGAAATCAACTTAATATATATTATATATTGTATCTATTTCTTATTACTAAACAGAAGTATTATCTTTACTCCCTATTTAGATCTAAAAAAATTTGAACAATAATTAAGACATAAAAAAATAAATTGACTTTTCGATGACTTTTAAGTATAATTTTATTAAGAGAAAAACTTATAAAAAACCAAAATTTGGCCCATAAGAAACGATTTATTATCAAAATTAAGTCGAACCATTATAGAGCTTTAACATGTGTTAATAATTTGTTTTTACCTGTTTGAAGCCTTGATATAAAATTTTCATTTCTTTTTTAGAAAATTTGGTTAGTTGACACAAAGTATCTATATCTTGCGGTCGATGATACATTGGAGGTCTTTGGAAACCCTCGCAATTGCCATCTATAAGGTATATTAAATATAATATATGAATAAATAACACCTGATGATCTATTATTGTATAGTTTTTATCATATAATATATTTGCTAATCTTAAAATATAATTATCTTCTTTCTCTTCAATGCCTGCAAATTTTTTTATAGCAGTTTCTTATTTCATTTTACCTACTAAAGCTGGATGTAGGGCTAGAATTTATCTCTATATGATTTTTATTTTATAGGTTGATCCTGATTATAATGATCAAAAATTAATTTAAAATTTATAGCATATCCTTCACAATTGTTTAAATCAATCTTATAGATTAGCCATTAGCCCATAAAATTTATATATTAAAATAATGAATTTATCTATATGAGGTGAAAAGTTTATAATCGAAATCCTTGCTTAATGTAACACTTTGAAGGATTTGGGGAGTAGTATAGATTTTCCGAAGAGGTAATAATAATGGGTACCTTACCTTTTTAATTTTATTAGAGAACTTTGCCATGTTACATTTTCTTTTAAAAATTGGGTTTTCATTTTTTTTCCCAATTATATCATTATTTTAAAAAATTTATTAACTTTTACTTTAAATTTTTTTTATTGTCTATAATGACATGTTTATTATTATCATTTTTTAATGAAAGATGAGGAGGAGAAGTATAGGGATAATTTCTATTGGCTTAAAATATATTTAAAAAACTTATAATTGTTTAATTGGAGAAACCCCCCCCCCCTCCTCCGTTTTATCCCAATGATGCTACTTATAATTTAATAGTGTAAGAAACTATTTTTATTTATAGTATTTTTTTTTATCATTTTGACTATTTGTAATTTTTTAAAATCTATTTTTTTTGTAACGATATACATTTTTTAATACCTTTTTATAAATCAATACCTTAATTAAATCAATCTGTTTAATTTTATGCATGGTCCAAGAGATGCAAACATCTCCAGGTTCTATGTAGTTATACGGCATAACTTTTTCTCTATAACTAAATATTTTATCCAGAAAAATATTACATAAGCCTGAAGATTTTTCTTATTGATGGCACAAAATAGGTATAAAAAATATGTAAAGATAATTTTAAAAAAAAATAACGATAAAGACTTACCCATCTATATTAATAATTATATATGAATTATAAATGAATTGTGAATTCGTATATAGCAAAACCAATTTAATAACGTTTTATAAAGATAATTTTGGAAAATCTTAAAAAACAACAAATATACCAATGGATATTAATTATTTCTCTTATTATTTTATTTTTTCCCCAACATTTTTGTTATTGATTATATCTTGAGATTTTCATGTAAAACATTCATAATAAAAGTTAAATAACCAAAAATGATAAAACTTAGAGTAGCATTAAAACATAGGTATGGATTTGAATTATTTTTAACGTATGTAAGAAATATTCCTATAATTATAAAATTTCCATTTGTAATTTTTTTTGCCTATATAATTAGTATATATCGATTTTTAAGATTATTTATTTCATTTAACTATTTTTGCCTCTATATTTTTCAATATATATATTTTATTAAGCAATTTTAAAGGATATCATTTAATTTATAGTATTATTAGCAAAAATTACTCCAAATCATTTTGTATATCCAATTCAAAAAAAAACCTAAAATTTTGGAATAGAAAGAGGATTAAGTTTCCCCATCTTCCCATGCTATACAAATTTTTTTTTATGTTTCTTAACTATCATACCTAGTGAAAAGGCTCATTCGTTAAGTTGACGTTGAATTCAGGGCGATCATCCTTATATCCCGGAAATTTAAATAAAAATTTTTTTACACATGATAACTATAAAATTACAAATTTAAATTTATGATTAATTTTTTTTCAATAAGGAATAAAATATAGTAGTATATTGGTGTATATGTTAGCGTCAATGTGTTTTTTCCGGCAGTGTGTTAATCAACTTTAAATCATTTTTTGAGCACGTTTTTACAAAATCTGATTTTACCGAAAATGTATGCCAACATGTTTGAAATACCTACCTCATGGATTTCAGATAATTTATAATTTATATTAAACTTTTCATATATTTTTTACATAAATTATAAATGAGTCAAAGGTTAACAGCAAAATTGTCTACAATTCATAAGATAAATATTCCAAACATGATTGAATATATTTCCGGTAAAATCATATTTTGAAACTTTAAAAAATGCGCTTAAAAAATGATTTAAAGTTGTGAAAATAACTTATTGCCAGAAAAAGCACATTGACGCTAACATTAATTTTTTTATGTTTCTTAAAAAAAAGTAAATAGTCATTTATAAAAAGTAATAATTTAATGTACAAATTAGCGCTAATGTGTTTCCGGCTTTTTAACCTCGAATTTATCTGATTTTACCGCAAATGTTTTCTATCATGTTTGAAATACTTATCCTATGAATTTCAAACGATTCTGTCATGAATCTTTGAATTTAATATAATTTATATGGGTTTTCCATAGATTTTTATATAAATTATAAACGACTCAAAGATTAAAGGCAAATTGTCTACAATTCATAAGAAAGGTATTCAAATATGCTGGAATAGATTTCTGATAAAATCAGATTTTTAAATTTAAGGGAACGCGCTCAAAATATGGTTTAGGATATAGATTTTACAAACGATATACTCCTACCCACTTAAACTAATCAATCCAGCAAGATTTTATTCTGATTATAGCTCATTAGATAGTAAAAAATATATGGAGAATTAAAAATTATGATTTATTTTTAGGCTAAGACCATACGAAAGAGATCTCGTGGTGAAGAAATTGAGCTTTTAGTAGTCATTATAGAAAAGAATTATAATTATCATTAAATTTAGCGATATATTCAGGTATTGGAAATTATTTCCCGTGAAAAAATATTCAATAAGTGAAATTATTTTTAATATATTTGTAAATTAATAATGTTAATAAATATGAAATTAAGTTAAAAATTAAAGAATAGATGGAATGACGCTATTCCATTGGAACCAAGGTATACCCCTCGCTTGGGATTTAGATCATTTTGCCAGATCTTTTTCTGTCTACTCCATCACGAAAGTTGAAAATACAAAAACAAATCAATCAAAATTTGTCGATCTAACTGTATATCTATACATGGGTCATTAAATCCAGCCAACCATATCTAAATATATTATTTTGATATATTATTAATTATCTTTTTAATTTCTCTTATTTTAATTATATATTTTTATATAGAATAATTGTAATATTCTTTTAATAAATGTGACAATTCAAAAAATATATATATTTATAAATAAAATTAATTTAATTTAAATGATAAAAAAGCAAAAATAAATTGTAACAATCAAATTCAAATTAAATGTTTGATAAAATAAATATTATTGTATGCATCAAAATATGCAAAACCACGTATAATATATTTCAGATTTTTTAAAATGTACTTTTGTGTTCTCTCATATTTAGATAAACCGTAGTATAATTAAAAAATTATTAAATCAATTTTTTAATTAAAACAATTATAACATTGAGATTAAAATTTCCATATCTTTGGTAGCTAACAAACTATTAAAGCATTCTTTTATTTATAAAAAATATGACGATGACTTTGTAGTGATTCAATATTAACATTAGATCCATTAAAATAGTTAATAACAAAAATTTACTTGTTTGACGTTTCGCTTCTCCCCTTTTTTAAGAACTAGTTAGGCATCTATCGAGTTAACTATTTCCCATATGATTTAAGTAAGAGGATAGAATAAAATATTATATACCATAAAATCTTAATAGTATTTAGGTCAAGATCATTTTAAATCTAAAAAACGAAAATGGATAATTATGCTTTTCAACTTGTTATAAAGAGAATAAATAAGGTGGACGAGATGACAAATTATTAATATGGGGGAGGGGGAGGGAGAGATCAATTACTCGAGAAAGTAACCTCTTAATTATACATCATGGGTATGGTTAATTTTTAATATCGAGTTTGAGAAAATAATGTAGAATCATTTTTTTTAATGTTTAATTATGCCTCCAAAATAAATATTTATATTATAAAATCCTTCGATAAAAATATATGAAATTTTGTGGAAATATCATTTAGCATGGAATTAGAATCATTTTAAAATATTGAAAAATCGGAACTAGAATTCATTTTAATTCCAGGTTTCAAACTCATGTTATTAATTTTATTCCTTTTTAATTTTATTTTTGAACAATTACTATCTCATTTTTAAAAAATATTCTACCCCCGTAATTAAGGTTAAGTGAATTTATAAAATTTGTGGAATTATTAAAATCTTATGTTTATATTAAGGGTATTTTATTTTGAAAATAACGAGCATCCAATTTCCTTTTTAACAGAGTATATAAAACTAAAAATAGGCGTTAATATTTTCAGAATAGAGAACTAATTTTAAATCTCTAATAAAAAAAAGAAGTGTATAACATCAAAATTTTTAGATTTCCATCATATAAATTTTAGGTATATTTAGAAAAATAGTTTAAAAAAATATCAACAAAAATTGTCAAGAGAAAATATTTTCGTTTTATTTAACTGCCCGATTTGAATCGATTTTTATAAACCACTCTATTAAGATTTTAGCCAAAATAATATTGTAAGTCTAAATCTTTCTGCCATCTATGAGCAAAATCTCCATGCTTATATAATATTGGTTTGGCTAAAATCTAAATCGAGCAGTTTTTAAAAATCGATCCATGGGCCATTTGACAACACTATTCTGAATTGTTTGCAATAGTCATTTAATATATTTTATCTATATAATCTATCAAAATAAATACTCAGAAATATAAAATAATTATAATACATGGTATATATTAAAGCTTAAATGTACCCAACTTCTTGTGAACTTATAAAATATTATATAATTTTGACAAAATTTACCAACTCACTTGAATCTTGATGGATACATTTTTTAACCCATAAATATAAGTTATTCATTATAGTATAGTTTTAAATTAGCATATTAATATGATAATGTTAGTATATAATAGTTTTTTTTAAACTCTACTAGGATGATTTA